GGATTCCGCCATTCCCATTCCCCTCGAATCGGGCGTGTGCAGAAAATCAAAATAAAACGCTTTTCGTTTCATTTGCAATGAAATTTTCGCAAGTGCTGGGCCTGTCTTTGTTTTGTCTGCTCGCCTGCCATTGAATGGAAATCGTTTTCCAATACAGTATTGAATACAGTATACTGTATACTGCAGGGTGTGTAGAGCTTACCCCCGTGGCAGTTTCGGGCATTTCCTATGCACGTCATGTGGGCAATCAGCGTTCATGTCCATGGGATACTTCTTCTGGTTTTTAGCCCCATTCCCGGGATTGTGTTTGGGATATCTATTCCCAGTTTTATTTCTCACTCGGCCCATGAATATTTAACTGCCAACAATTGACTATGATTGTTATGTTTGTCGATGCCTCGTGTTTTACAATTAGAGGGGATCGGACCAAAGGCAACAGGGATTTTTGGGGCTCAAGATTGATTTTCTCCATGGCTTTTTATTTTTCATTTATCAATTTTCTTAACGATTTCCTGCTTTGCCTGCCTTTGCAAAGAAATTGCAATTTTAACGCATGACGGGGCATTCTCAATGCGCTCCAAGCCAAAAATGGATGAAAAAAATGGTTCACAAGCACTTGAGCCATTCTCTATTTTCCTACTTAGACATCGTCGCGTAATCGAATATAAATTGAATTTTGCACAACAAATGGATTTTTCTCAAGAGTTTTTCTTTACCGGTTTACCTCTCGACTGCATTCAAATGAAATCAGTATAAGATTAATAATATGCAATAAAATTGAGCGGACGTTTTTATATTTTTGCTGACAAAAAAATGTAAAACTGTATTTACCAATCATTTATAGTCCTTTTTCGTCCCACAATGTATGTGCATATGGCTTACAATAACTTGATTTCCTTAGCCTTGTTCTACCAAATTGTCAGTTTAAATTTAACACAACAATGTGGTCAAAAATAATATTTTTGAGATAAGAAGAGTAAAGGGACATGTTCAATCATATGTAAATGCCTAAGAATATGTCACATTTATTTTAAATGTTTAAGCCTTTTAAAAAGTTATTTCTTTACAGATTTCATGTATATTTTTGGTTCAGTTCACTTACCCCTGAAAATATTTCGCGATTTCTCTCACGCATTTTTTTTCGCCCTCTTTTCCTCGCAAATTCTCTGTCTGATTGAATATTTTGTTCGTTTTCCATTTTAAGCTGTCACCCGCACTTGTATTTTTTTCGCTGTACGGCGTGTTTTGCACTTGATGCATACATATATTTTGCATTTATTGCGGACAGACCTCAGATATAATGTAAGCTAGTCACGTCTAGCCACTTGTGTCCCGAGCCCGAGTTCCAGCTTTTCCCAGGTTTTCCCCTTCTACGGCTGCTCTGCTCTCGTTTGAAGCTCGTGTCTCCACATTCACTTAGTGCAAAGGCTGTCCTGAACCTCTTTTGCATATTGATATGGCTCGTGCGAAATCTACCTACCTTTCATACATTTTCGGTGCCAAATTAAGAGCTATTTTTATCCGAAATATGAGTTAGTATTGTCCCTGAAAAAACAACATTTATCGTTAATTGTTACATACTTTGAGTATTTTTAGAGCGCGTGTTCAAGTGCCGTGTCTAGACGAAAGTTTTCGCTCTTCGCTCAGGTAACAGCCGAAAACAAATTAAAACAAACGCAAACATTTCAGAAAACTGACCAACCCCAAGCCGAATCGCAAATAAAGGGAGCCTTTGAAATTTTGTTGCAAATTGTTAGCTCGTGTCCCATAAAAGTGCACATAAAATCAAAAAGGGGAAAAATATGCGGAGAATGGGCTTGGCCACTCATACCATTTTCCAAACATTTCCACATGGCACGCCAAGCAATTAAAGCGGCCCATCGCAAAACTCCAACTCCATGGGTTGCATGTGGCAAACTTCTGGTTCCTAACTGGCGCCCAAATGGCGGACATGACGACGGCGGCGCCTCAATGTCAGGCCATTAAAGTTTAGTGGGCGATTTTGCATAGCCCCGAAAAACGCGCCAAGAAGGAAAGCTCCAAAGCCGGCAAGAAGAAAGCGAACTAAGGCGGCAGCAAAGTGCAGCAGACGTTTTACAATCGCCCACCCATCCCCCAAAACTTTGGCCGAAGCTCATCAAGCCCGAAAAAGTTTAGCCAGCGATAAATCAAATTTTTTGGTTGCTTGTTAACTCGTTCGCTTAAATTAAGTTGAACATTAAGGCCCAAAATGGAAGCTCAAATTTTATGTAATTTTAAGAATTTCCCGGATGGTAAGGAAAATCCTGTTAGTGTGGAAATGCGGCGTGGCGGCCGACAGCTAATGAAAATATTTGCCGGAAGGGGCGGTGCAAGTTCCTAAGGGTTTTGTAATTAGCAGAGTGTTCAACTGGGCTTGACTGTTCTTGAATAAATGAATTCCAGTAATGGTTAATGGTTCTGTGAATTTTTAAACAGGTGGTGGTGGTGTTTAGGAAATGTTACGATTTAGTTACAAACACAAAAGTAATCAATTTAAAAAATGAATTTATTAAATAAATTAACTTAATAGAACATATTTCTAAAATGTTATTATATTTTCCTAAACTTCATATGTCTAGTAGATATTATCTTCCTTACAAATATGGTCTTTACCTTTTTTGTCCTCCCAATTTTAGATTTAAATACTTATTTTTTTGATTTTTCAATTTAGTATGATTCAGAAATAATTGGTAATTATTTTATTATTGGGCTTTTGAGACTTAGTTTGTTAGAAGCTAAACAAATATTGTTTTCCTTTGCATAGTATCTATTATTACCAGAATTGATATCAAAATACGACAAATGTATTTCGTATATTTGCATATTTAAACATATTCCCAGAATATAATCTCTGATCAAACTGCTGTTTCAAGTTGCTCGTCTCGGATTTCCCCTTGACATCCATCAAATCCAAGCGCCCCCGCTGTGTGCAGTCCCAGTCCCACATCCCAGTGCAGCCCCTAACGGGTCAACAGCCCATTTCATGTGATTACTCACAAAACACAGCTCTGGGAGGATAACCTTTCCGATTCCCCTGCCCCCGTCCCCTAATCATGGAGCCAACAAGTCCCCGGGCTCAGGACGCTTGTTATTGTCATTGTTATCAACGCTGTCAGTGCAAATGGCGACACCGAAATAGCAACAGCCAACAAGAGGACACTCGGCTCTCCGTTGGTCCTGCAGTGTCTCATGTGGGCATATGTTAAACATTTTGACACTTTTGCGCACGGTTTAACCGAAAGCCTCCGACATCCGCTGAACTTTGACATTCTAATGGAAGTTGATGAGGGTTTTCGACTGCCTCTGCCTCCGTGAAATTCCCCACTTCGCAACTATTTAAATTTACAAATGCTACTGCCTGATTTCGAAAAATTTGCTACAATTCGCAATAGTTGTTGTTTTTATGGTTTCGCATGTACATTGGATTGTGTAATTTCGTGGGTGTCAGTGCGACGATAATCAGCGAACTGAAATCAACTGCTGACGGAATTTTACATCAGATTGCCAAAAGTGTGGATAGTGGACCAACTTAACCACTTTGGTGGTTCGCACTGAGCTTTGCTGCGGTTGCTGTTCGATGATTTTGGGGGTAGCGCTCGGCATCGAGTTATATTGAAACTTAATTAAGTGCCGGGACCAGAGCAAAATTCACCTGGGTCCTTGGTCTGGAATGGAAAATGATTGTACCGCGGTCGCTGACAAATGTTAACCGTTGTTACCGTAGTTTATTTTTGGGACTCGAGCTTAAAACGAAATGACTGTAATTGTAGTGCAAGCCAAAGGCAAAACATGGATTTAATTGCCCTAAATGAAAAGATAAAAAAAAGTGAGCATATGTTTAATGTCGTTTTTGTTCAGGATACTTTAAGGACGCACTGAAATTCACACAACGCCTCTGTGTAATTTTTTAATACTTTGATAAATAATAATTTAAATAAAAATTATTATTTTCTTATGCCATATTTAATTTTTAAAACGTTTTTAAGCACTCTGTGCCTTACAATAATTTCTATGGCTTTATCTACATCTCAAGCGACTCACACCCAAATGTGTAAACATGAAATTCAAATTTCAATGCACTTCGATAGGATCTTCGTGTTTTTCCGGTCTTTGCAAAATATCACCTTCAACGCGTAATAAAGAATTATGTAGAGACAGTTAATACCCGCGAGACAAAAAGCGGCTGGCTTATCTCTGCCACCCCCCTCTCCCGTTATTTTTGGGTATAACCATTTTCAAATCGCTTCCTTTCGGCTGGCAACGAAATTTTGGGGCACTCCCCTCTCCTTCCCAAAACATTTCCCCCACATTGTGTCTGCCAATTTACGTTATCGTTTTCAAATTGAAAATTTGCGTAATCACATTTTAAGTGAAAATCGCTTTGCAAATTAAATTAAATCGATTTCTTCAAGACGATAAGATGGGGTGGAATGGAAGCCGTTTTGCCAAAAGTTGCAAAGCTTGTAAATTCACATTATGGTTTTTCATTTCCGCTTCCGTTCTGGCACTGGAGCTTTAAGCTCTGGAATATGCATCTGCAGTTTTCCTTTGGTGTCTGCATTGTCGCGACATTGCAACTCAAAGAGCCATCAACGTCATCAAATCGTTAGTCAAACAGGAGTAAAAAGAAAAAATATTTAAGTTCTTTGCTCCGCTCTCAAGTCTCTCGTGGCAATAAAAATGATGAAGTACTTTGAGAGTGCGAGAAGGAGTGGGCTGAAAAAGAAGAAACTAAGAGTTGAAAATCTTGCATTCCTGGCATATCCTTTGGTTACAGACAAACTTAGCAATAAGTTAGAAGGGTATATTGAAATTCCCAAAATCCTGAATCCATTGAAGTTAATATAAACACTTTTTTATCAACTTTAACTATATTTTAAATCTATTTATATTAAAAATGTTCTGATAATATGAAGATTATCATATAAGCATTGAATTTTTAATCAATTAAAAAGTATAACAATTTTAAATATTGGTAATCTGTAATTTCCAATTATTTTGGTCATGTATATCATTCATCTAATTTTTATGCTGATATTTCTGAAAACTGTAGTGGCTGTCATACCTCATGGAGTCACAATTAAAGAGCGTAAGATCCCCACAGTAATATATAGAAATTTAAGTAATACTTACAAACCCACAGCAAAATGCTGGTATGTTGCGAATCCCGGACCCTGCGACAACTGGGTCAAAGTCTGGGGTTACGATTACCTAACCAATCGCTGCATTTTCTTCTATTATGGCGGTTGCGGCGGTAATCCGAATCGTTTCTATACGAAAGAGGAGTGTCTAAAAACCTGCCTGGTACACAAACCCCCAAAGCGGATGAAAAGGGAAGATGATGAGGAGGAAGAGGAGGATGAGGACTATGAGGAGGACATTGACAATTGGGACAAATGGGATAACGCCTATGAGCTATAAAATAAAAAGGGTATTCCAAAATCGACTTTCAGATAAGAAATCGCCTGCTGACGCTAACTTTTGATTCCTTGTGCAAACGCATAATTTCAGTTTGAAAGAAAGAACTTCCCGTCGAGTTGCTTGTAATGCGTTTTCTTTTAGCCTTCCACTGCATCTCGATTTTCCTTTACTACCAGTATATGAATATCTCTCTAGACGTCTGTTTGCTGCCAATCTGAGAGACGGCCATTAAGTCAAACAGTTTGAAGCAATTTGAAAGCTACACAGACTTGGCACTAAGGATATCTCGACTTCTTGGGTTATTTATCAACAATTTTATGTGGATAGAGTTGCGATTCTGACAATTTTTGACATGCAATTTGCAATTTTCCATCTGCTGCAGCCGTATTTTCGGTACGGATTTTGGCATTTGCCTGCCGGCTGCAATAACTTTTGGCAGCGAATGCAGATGAGGCTCATCATTGTTGATGCTCTGCCCAAAAAAATCCTCGGGGAAAATTCGCAACTGTCTGCGGGAGTGAACTTCCTAATTTCCAACTCAAATTTATGTTCCAACGGAAAACGGAAGACAGAAAAGAAAATGCCCTGCTAATTGGAAAGAATTTTGTTTGCCTATTCTACCGCTCTTTACATGGATCTCCGCTCGTTAGGCTTAATTAGCAATCATAAAAGTTGTTCCCAGTTAAATGTCGAACATTCTTATTTGGTCATGTGACACTTTTGTGTCCTGTGGTGTCCTGGGCAGCAGGATCTGAACCTGAATCTGGCATCAGAGGTGTCTCCGAGCCACCTATTTTACTTTCTGCTCACGTTGCCTTTCCGCTCCTTTCCTTCGTCCTTCGTCCCCCAAGACTTTTATGACTGATTATGCTGTGTTTCGGCCATTTAATTGCCACTTGGCTCTGGATGTGACTACTTTTATGGTTAATGAGCAACTTGTGGTAATTTGGGGGACTCGGCAATGACAGGGATCAGGTGTGCAGACAATGCCTGCTTTTGTTGGCCGGGGACCAGCCAATTAAATGGTTAATATTACCGGTCTGTGGGGTAAGGGCATATAAATTATAAAGAATGGCTGTCATTGAAGTAATGGAAGTGGAAATGGGAGGAAAAAAGTTTTATTTTTTTACTTTAATAAACAAATATGTTTTAAAGAGTTGAAAGATAACACAAGCTTAATAAAAAGTGGTACATATTATTTTTTGTTCGAGTATCCTCCTCAATATTTTCAACTTATAAACTGGTCTATTTTAATTCGAATCTTAAAGCAAAAGTTTAATATACCATTTAAACTTGAGCATCAATGGCTTTCGGTTTATTTAACATTTATCATTTGATATGTAAATGAACAACTTCCCTGCTATCTTCTATCATTTCAACTCTGACATCATCTGTTGCTGGTGTCCAACATCGTTTGACTGTTCTGCCAGTTCAACGATTTGAAAAATCGTTCACAATAAATTAAATTTCAGTCAGACTTGTTTCCGGCTCGACACTCGGGCTCGAAAATTTAAATAGGTCAAATATGCATTTAATTTCCGCACGAATGAAATGAATTTGTCTGGAACTCCGGCGCAAGGGCTCTGTCTCTCTTGTTTTTCCAGCCCCAGTGCCTCCAGCTGTCAAATACATAAAGCTCGGCACAAAGTGTGCCTGCCTGACTGCGAATGTCCTGCCCCTCCTGCGATTTCCATGCCATTTCCTGGGCCACAATGCCGCCTGCTCTCGAGCTCAAGAGAACACGTGTTTGGGCCACCTTCTGTCTCGGCCATGGACTGCTCACTGTACACTTAACTTATTTGGCTCCATTAAAATCTCTCTAAATAAATATTTAATGCGTGAACAACTGGAGAGGAGGGGGAGAGGAGGAGTAGAACCTCCCCGAGGAACCGACGGAGCAACAGCCTGGCCAGATGATTTATGACCTTTGCTCTTGGCCTGGCCTTTTGTTCGCCAGCCTCCTCTACTTCTGGGCCCGCCTAATGGTTCATAATTGATTTTTATGCCTATTGTGTTGGCCGTCTTGCCCCAAGTCGGCCATTCTCCTGGTCTCTTTCAAATGGCGCGTTCATAATGCGACGCACTGCACCAAGGCCTCATTACAGATGGTTTGCCTGGCAGGAGGTGGGGGCGTATTAAAAACTTATAATTCCTGCTATTGGTGGTGTACATAAATCCCTTTTATTGCCACAAAATGCGGGATTTAATGAAGCAGTGGAGGTCAAATGGCTTCCTGGTTAATGATTTAATTTCGGTGGGTAAGGAAACCTTGCGAGTAATGAAATCAAAAATCGATGAGCTCGGAAAAAATAATATTTATTTACCCAAGGCCTGAAAAATCCATTTTAAAACAGAGAATTTTTTTTTTATTTTCTACAAAAATGATGTAATATTATTAAAAGGTTTAAGAAATCTACTTCAGAATTGTATTGTACTGTATTGTATTATAAATATCTAATAAACCTACTAGTATAAAGAATATGATATTATTTTTTACAAAATCCACTTCAAATTATTCAAGGTTTATCTTAAATCTATTTTGAAATTAAGCTGGATTTTCCGAATATTTTCTGGATTATTAAAATCTACAAATTTTAAACAGCTTTTGTACTTGTTTAATTTTATCACAGAGCCAGAAAATACCTTTTTTCGGTCTACGTTTTTGCTCCACCCCAATCCACTTGATTTAATAACACCAATAAGATGGCAAAAGCCAAACAGCCAGACCCCAACGTAATTCCTCCCATGTTGTCTTCAACTAAAATCTAAATAAATAAATGTCCATTTTGGACACCTACAAACGTGCCCAGTAGCAATTCCAGGAACCACTGAAGTTTGGGAGGGGTTATTTGGGGAAGCTGTCCATGCGAAGGAAGCTAGCATTCCGGGCATATCATGCGTTTACTTTAATAATGCGCATAAATTGGGAGTCGTATTTGGACCTTTTGACTGCTTCATTCCTTGGACACGGAATCGGGAATCGAGTGGGGAGCATGCCAGCGTTTCATTTAGCTTTTGTTTGACTTGACCCCCCTCCAGCGACCATCTGTCTGCCTGTCTAGTCAGACATTGTTTTCGCATCCAGAACCAGACTGACCCCGAGAATATTTTCGCCAGCGTTTAATCTTTAATTTTCCGCCACTATGTGTGGATGGAAGACCTCCCCTCCGACTGTCTGTCTATCCAACTGTCGGGTTTTCCCTTCCCCTCCCCCCAAAAAAACCCTGGCTCAATTTATTTGTTTTAGCTTCTGCCCGGGGTGAATAGTAAGGTATGCGGCATTAAATTAAATACTTAGCCGCTTCTCGGCACCGCTTGGCGTAAAAATTATGCCAGCATTTAAGTGTTTAATATCCGCCGGAGACTGCTGTGGGTCCACTCTGCCTGGCTTTGGGTCTTCGGTCCTCTCTGGATATTTATTAGTTGATTTTAATGGAAAAACCCCGGCGAACACTTGGCATACATAATTGTTGCGGGCGGAGACTTATGCCAAGACATAAAACTAGAGATTTTTGAAGGGGGGTGAAGGAAAGCTGATGTCATGCAAATTTAAGCGAGCTTAAGCTTAAAATATTTGTAGATGGTGAATAAATTAAAGAGCAAGTCATGGAAACATTAAAGTTATTTTCTGAGAGATAAATACATTTAAACTAATTTTGTTAGGAATATGATTATTGCGAAAAAGATTTTAGTTCGTTTTCTTAAGTTCACCACTCAATTGGGTGAAGCTTTTTAAAATAGTAAAAGTGGGTAGAAAAATTATTACAATTTAAAGAAACTTATTTTTTAAATATTTAAAAACTTTACAATTCTTTAAAAGGTGCTTCTCTTTATGATTTTCCTATACACATTCAAACAGCTTTAATATCTCGTCTATAGCTTCTTCTTATTGCCTTTGCTAACCTGCGATTCAAAAGCCACCTGGACAACTTTAACTATCTAAACCTTAAACGGCTCCCCAACACCCAATTCCTATAGACCAGAATACTTGCTAACCAGAAAAACCCCCAAAGGAGCCGGCAGCAACAAAGCTGCACTCAACACAAATGCAACTGGAGTTGGTCGGGAGGAGGAAAAGGAGGAAAAGGACTCGTTCAGACCGAAGGCAAAGCAAGCAAAGTGGTATCCTGGATCCGCTTCTGTGGCCTGCTCCTGGCAGCAATTGTTAATAAGATTTGCACATCATTTCACGTGTCTCGGCCAACTGTCTGTCTGTCCGTCTGGGTGTTGTGCCGTATATTTGCATGCAATAAAGCCGCAAGGAGTTCGGTTCTCTTCGCCATCACCAGTATTCATTGTCTCACACTCCTTTGGGGTCTATTGTCTGTTCGGCATTTTATGGCGTACATTTAAGCCGGCAACTGCAGCTGCCAAACATCAAGTGGGATGGGGTGCAAAATACAAAACCCAGCCCTTGACTCGATTTCCGGCCGGGCTGCATGTGCAATGGCTGCTTCGGGTCTGACCATTATTGCATTTTTTATGGCATTTTTTTGACACATTTCTAATGGAATTTCCAAGGGCCAAAAGGAGTTGGCTGGAATCCCTCAAATGTCCTGCCTTAAATATTGATAAGAAATTTGGGACAGCAGCAATGTAATCGGGCAATTTGTTATAAATAAATAACAAAGCTCTCAGTTGATTTGGATTTCTTGAGCTTTTCTGGTTTTTCAAACTCCCTTTTTACTTATTTATTGCAGCAGAAAACAAAATTAAATTGCTATAAAACAATGATTTGCGTATTTCCTAAAGAGGGTGCTGCTCTTTCACCCCAAAAAAATAAAAGAAAGATAATAAAAAGCGAAGGTCTGGGAAGATAAAATGCGACAAATTAATTGGAATTTATGGCTTGGAAGCGTGTGAAAAATTCCGAGGGGTAGATATGTATGTTGGGGTCCTAGAGAAGATGAATGTCGATGGGGCGTCAGAGGAGATTTAATGAACAATTAGAGAGGATTAGTGGTAGCCCTTTTTTTTGCGAAACTGACACACGATAAAGC